CACACACAAACACACACAGAGCAATGTGATATGTCAGATTTGTCAGATTTGTCAAGGGAATTTCCTTGCATGGATGGAGATGAACTTGGTTCCCCTCTGCCTCAGATAGGAGACTCGTCCTCTGGTCAAGCGCTAACAAGTGTCCTGGGAACAGGTACATTTTTAAACAACAGTCTGTTAAAAGGCACAGAATAAAGAGGAAGCGTGGGTGGAAATGAAAGAAATGAACAGGAAGATGCGAGCGTGAGGGATGAGAGGACAGACTGTAGCTATTTAATCGCCCCTCCAAGGAGGCCTCTTTCTCTCACACTCTTAAGTGGTAGTCTTTATTTAGTCATTAGCTTTGTGTAAAATGAGACAGTATCCTTTGTGGATGCCCCTGCTTTTGTCAGCTGTCACATGCCTATTTATGAGGATCTCTTGTTTGAGGGACAATAAGGAGTAAAGGGGAGGGAGGGTGGAAGTCGGATGAATGGTGGGAAGGCGGAAAAAGCTGAAGAGAGTTTGTGGTGACAGTGAAAGGAAAGGCTTTAGAGACCATTAAGAATGACCTTCAGTTTGCGTGTGTGTATACTCGCATGTGTGTGTGTGTGGTTTTTGAATTAAATCAGTGGCGATGAGATAGATGCGACCAGCGTGCAGGAGGTTGAAGCCGAATTGCCTCAACATTGACATTGAGCGGACATAGTCATTTCCTACTGCGTGTTCTCCAGCAGAAATGAGACCGAAGAGAGAATGTAGCAGAGATCACATCTGTGAAAACACGTTACGAAACCCATATGTTGCATGTGGCCTTGTCAGAGAGGTAGAGAAACAATGAAAGAGACCTGTTCCCTCTTTACATGCAACTATATTCTTCAATATTTGTGTCTCTAACTTGCTCTTCTCTCTGAAAATCGCCAGGGGTGGCATACAGTGTGCACATTACATTTCCTAAATACATCCACGGTTAAATGATGAAGCTGGAAAAAAACAGCTTTTAATGTTAATTAGACCAATTAACCTGTCTCATTATGAGACTGCTGAGGTGAATGTCAATAGTTCCTAATTCCTACTAGCTTCAGCTGATGTTATAACCATGAAGAGTGTGCTCTCTCCTCCATACAAACAAGCTGATTATATGTTTAAGCTTTTGGTCTTCATTTACAAAGGACAAACTGTGATAAACTTTATTAGTGTTTTCTTTGTGGTACCTCTTTATTTTCAGCTCACATGAGAGTCACATGATTTTAAGAAGTTCTTATCTTGAGGCAGCCTACTATTAATGCATACAAACACTGTCTCATGTACTGTACAACTCTATGGACTCCATGCCTGTAAAAAGCTGAAAAGGGGACAAGGATAATCACTTTTCAAGATGAGATATGGTAGTCCAAGTCAAACATTATAAGAAAATTTCCACCCTGAAATTGTTACTTAAAGGTCCAGTAGATGCCATTAAAAAATACTGGTCCTTTGAAAAAAGTATCAGATTCACAGAATTGAGCACTATTATAAAGTTAAAAAGAGCAGTTACCTGTAACTGTAATAGAGAATAATAATATTTTCATATTGTACATATTGTGCAGTAGCTATTACGAATATCTGTTGAAGCTGGGGGCTTGCTTGATGGGTTTTCACAGTGTTAGTCTGCCTGAAAGCTGGGTAGACCAAAGAGGTCACGGGTGGAATTATCTGCTTGCACAAGGGGAGGGGAAAAACGCTGCAATCTGATAGCTGTGGGGCCAAAGAGTGGGGCATAGATAGAGGGACGGACAAAGACAGAGAAAGAGTCGGGGTAAAGTCAAGGGCAGGAGAGAGAGAGAGAGGCAATAAAAAAAGACAAATGATAGGGAGCAAAGAAAGACAAGAAGGGGACTTTTTATGTAGCGCATCGAAGGGTCACAAACTTTACATAGGGAAGTGCCCAAGGAACTGCCTGAAAATGTTTTTTTTAAAACATAGAAAGAGCTTGTTGCTAGGAAACAACTGGCCATATTTTTGACCCTGTGGCAATATGTCACCTTTTGCTGGGAGTTTTACTCTGAAAAGTCCCAGGCAAAACAGTGCCAACTTTGAAACACCCAAGTGTGTGTTCAACAGATCTTTGGTGGAATTTCATTGCAGGGGACACTCATAGAATCCTGGGAAAAACTAGTATGATTATGCTTTGACAGAGGGCAGGTGGAAGCTCAGCCAGTCGCCATTGTTCCATCACAGCATGGGCAAAGTGTCTTCTCCGAACACCATTAATGCCTGATAATGTGCACTCTCGTAGATCTGCTGTTGTTCACTACTCACATACAGACCCCCCTCCCCATCACCAACACTTGATTTGCACATAGATGCACACATGATGATCCAGCCCGAGCAGCCCATGTACAGGCATCAAGGCACACACTAGAGAAAACACTGAGGTACAAATAGCTCGGCACACATGCAATCAGGTTTACACACATGTACACACTCACGCGCGCAGTAAGCCTGGCACCCTGTCAGGCACTCTTTGGCAGTGTTACAGGTGGTGTGTTTACATGAGGGCATCGTGCTGTGTAATGGCTGGAAGTGGCAGGGGTTAATCATCAACTCCTCCTGCAAAGCTTGCTACAGAACAGTCATAGCAAGTTTTTCTGAAATGAATCACATGCTTTCTGCTACTATGGCCAAGCAAGTGTGTGAGCCTCTGTGTACTCATTGAGAAACCTTTTTCCTTCAGCGCAGTAAGAAAACGCAGATGGTCAGTTTGCTGCCATAACTAACAGTTGGTGTGATAGGGGTTAGGGTAATCTCAGATGGTCCGCCCTGTGTCTCCTCGAGTTTACAGTGGTTTGGAGGAAATCTCGGATATAAGTTTAGAAATTTTGAGGCAGCCAGGTGATTGGCTGCACGTTTGAAAACACCCACTCCTGAAAATGGGTCCTCTTGTTAGTTCAGTGGTAAAGCAGAAACTGGTTTGGGAGCTAGTGTCAGGCTCTGCACTCAGTCCTCTCTTCTATAGTTTTGTTTGTTTAAAGTCAGATGACATCTCACTGTGTCTCCACTTTGCAGCTTTTTAGCTAATGGCAGCTGTACGGATGGTAGTGTTGGTCTGTTGGCCGGTCGGATGGTCAGTCCACCACCGCTTTAGTTGACAACTATTGAATTTGATTGCCATGACATTTTGTACAGACATTCATGGACCCTATAGAGGATGGATCCTGCTGACTTTGGAGATTCCCTGACTTTACATATAAGTCAGGGTATTGGGTGGGTTCCTAACTGGATTGGTTACCATGAAATTTGATTCTGCCAGGGTGCTCAGATAATGAATCATAATGACTCTGGTGATTCCCTGGCTTTACCTCTAGCGCCACAATGACATTGGACATTTGTGGTTTAATGTTTGTTGTTGAGATAACTATTGTGTGTGTTGCCATGAAAACTGGTACAGACTTGGTACAGATATTCTTGTCCCCTTCAGGATAAATACCCCAACTTGTCAACTGGTGCCATTATCGGGTCAGAATTAGTCTTTGTCCAGTTTGGTTTCTTGGTTTATGACCAAAAGATACAGACGCTAACATTTTGCACATATCATCTCTGTACTTAAGTGCAGTCTCACAGATCGCTACGCTTTGTAGACTTCCAATTTTACTAGACTGCGTGAACATTTCATCATTGAAGTCGGGCTAATGAAGAATAGGGTTAGAGTTGACGGTGGTGTTGTGTGTATGGAGCTAGTCACATGGCTTTATGATGTAGTGGACTTGGCTTGGTCCAGCCTAGAGTAACACTAAATAAAAAGCAACCAGAACCTTCTTGTTGTTAGAGTTGTTCCGTTACCGATGCCAGTACTGGAAATTCCTCCGGTACTGCCTAAAATGCGCACTAATCCAGTACCATGTAATCTATTAGCCCCAAAATAAGACCCTGCTACGTCCCATTCATCATTTTTTCTTCCTAGGATAGCAAAGTCATGACCTGTCCTACTTTGACTCTGACAAAGGGTTTAACTTGAACCGAGCCATACAACAATGAAAGCAGTTATATAGGCTTAGTAGTATATGCTTGTTGAAAAAAAACTTATCCCCATTGGGGATTAATAAAGTTTATCTTCTTCTTCTGTATACATATCTATATATCATCTATATATATATATATATAT